TGGAAGTCGGTTCGTGCCATTCTGTGGCTGCAGGAGACTGGGGAACCCCAACGCGCCGTCACACTTAGTTCCCAGTGTCCCGCCTCCCGCCAGCTCAGCGCCCATCCCGCTGTGGAGAGCCCAGCCCTGAAAGTGCAGCCACAGCCGGCCGGCCAAAGCCAGGCCCACTGAGGGGGTAGGTGACCACAGCTGGGTTGGTGACTGTGTCAGCCTCCTCCAGTCCCTGTCTGGTAACCTCGCGGTCTCCTCTTTCTTCCAGCTGACTGAGGATGTGGCCTCCTGCCAGCCCCTTGCCACGGCGCTGGATAACGGCCGGGTGATCCTGTGCGACCGCATCGCCGAGCCCTGGGTGAGGACAGCAGCACGCCGGCGCTGCCTAGCGCTCCCCCCCCCCCTTTGGTTCCTGGCAGCTCCCAGGCATCATAGACAGCACCGACTGGTCTGCCCCAGCACCCTCCCACCCTGGGCACTGAGTCTCCCCTCCCATCACCCTGGCACAGGGAGTGTGGTGGGGGAAGCTGAGGGGAGCCCAGCAGCTGCAGGGGGACTCAGTGGGCAGGGAGCAAACGAGGTCCATTCTTATACAGCTGGGCCTGGAGGCCCCACATGGACTCAGGGCCCCACTGTGCTAGAGGCTGCACAGATACATAGTAAGACAGCCCAGGCCTTTAGAGATCCATCTAAACACACAAGAGATAGGAGAGGGAAACTGAGGCACAGAGGCAAAGTGGGTTGCCCAGGATCACCAGCAGATCAACCTCTAATCCATTGCCCAACCCACTAGGCCACGCTACCTCCACCAAGTAGATGTGAATCGGGCAGGAAATTATACGGCACTAGCGTGATCCTTGTTGTGACTCTCAGGCCTGCCATGAGCCAGCTCCCTCCTGTTGACATCAGCAGACGTGTGTGCTAGTCTGTACCAGGGCTGAACCACACCCCGGGGCTCTGTCCCGGTCAGTGCCCCAGGGAACCTGGCACATGCGCTGTTTGCTCCAGCATGCCCAGGCCTGCCCGCCTGCGAGCGTGCTGCCCCTTTAATGTGGCCTGGCCGAGAGCTGGGCTCACTGAGCTCCCAGGCTGTGTCCCCCATGGCTGTTACTAACTGGGATCAGCCCCTCCACCCCACCCTGAATCTGGCCCACTAGCCACCCCACCGGGACCCTCGGGCACAGAGTGGCCCCATGCCTCTTGAAGCAGCTGGCTGCTCCCTGTGATTCTCTGCTCTGGGCACCAGAGGGAGGGGGAGGATTTTCAGAAACTGGCCAATGGGAACAGAGAGATTTTGCTGGGGGCAGGGGCACTGTGAGAATCTCCCCTCTCCCCCTCTCCCCCCACCCCCGTGTGTGGGGCAAGCGCTTTCCTCCCCCCAACTCCCTGCCCCAGGTCACCATCCAAACCTTGTGCACCCCCTACCCTCCTCCCTCAGGACACTACTCCGTCCAACACCCTGCACCCCCTTCTACACCCCTCCCCTAGGTCAGAATCCTCTCCTGCACCCATACTCCTCCTGGACTCTGCACCCAAAGCCCCTACCCAGCTCATAACCCCCTCAGCGCTTTCCTCCCCCCAACTCCCTGCCCCAGGTCACCATCCAAACCTTGTGCACCCCCTACCCTCCTCCCTCAGGACACTACTCCGTCCAACACCCTGCACCCCCTTCTACACCCCTCCCCTAGGTCAGAATCCTCTCCTGCACCCATACTCCTCCTGGACTCTGCACCCAAAGCCCCTACCCAGCTCATAACCCCCTCCTTTACCCACATTCCCTCTCAGACCCCACACCCCCCCCGCACCCCAGGCCCCTACCTTGAGCTCCCTTTTGCACCCCAACCCTGTCCAAGA